GTAATTCAATATCATTCATACAACGAGGAACGTGCCAATGCTCTTCATCAGGTTAGATAGACTTGAAGTCATTGCTAGAAATGTGATTTAGGTGTAAAGTTAGTGTGTGTAGTGTCGCATTCATCCAGACAACTAACTTTCCCCACATTCGTACCTAATCACGTGCTTAATTGAATTCAGTCACATAAAAACAAGAAACATGATTCAATTAACTCGTATTCGAGGACAATATCAATAAAATTATCCACAACGAAAACAAACACCAAACATGAATCCAAGAACATAGAAAAATGTTCACAAAGTAAATGGTTTACTAAGGGGATTCGACCAACAAGGCCATCCATGTCAAAATTCTGCTCTTCCAACAATGATCGGTGGAGCAAAATTAGTCTCACATATTGACTACGAGAATGGTACTCCTCAACGACATTGGTAGGGGCATAAACAGGTGCATAACCAATAATCTATTCCATCAAGACGGAAGTAGATTATGCAGGGTTAAGGTTCGGGAACACTATCCTTTATTCTTGAAGTTTTAGGTCTTAGGTGCCAAGGGTCACATTTCAGGCATGATGCCACACCTTGGCAGGCCCTGATTCTACCATATGTTGTAAAAAAATTAAAAAAAAAAACTCGAAATTGGATTATAAGAGACAAACCCAAAATTGGATTTAGTAGGCTCCAACTGAAGCTGAAGGGGTCTGTTCGGTAGGCCTCTGCCGAAGCAGAGAAGTACCATTCGGTGCACCTCTGCTGAAGTAGAGTATGCCCTTCAGTGCATCCATGCCGAAGTAGGGCATCATCGTTCTGTAGGCTTTGACCGACCTAGGTCAAGCCATTCGATAAACTTTAGCCGAATTTAGTCTATACCTTTCTCTCACGTTTGTGGTAGTAATCTGATCTGAGAATTTGGTAGACTTCCACTTTCTACACTGCTACTTCAGGAGTGAGTTGGAAACATGGAAGGATGAGAAAAGTATTCTCCAATCAAAATTCGATTGATTTATAAACTTTAGAATTGTACTTATTCAGGGACGTAATCATGGTGTGCTTCAGGCAATGTCTTTCATGATTAAACGGTATGTATGAGCAAGTCAAAAGGCCATGGAATCCTCGTTTGAGAGGTACTTCCGTTTGTAATGCTTCAAGCATAAGTTTTCGAATGAAGATCATGGCGGAAGCTGATTCAGCTCTTCCTTTCCATTGTTAGCTTTAATGGTTTCTCAGCTTCTTGATAGTCAAGTGAAGATTCATGTATTGTACCCCACATACAGTAGTTTATATTAGAAACGTCCAAATAAGGGAAATCGAACTTGTGACAGTTCGACAATCCACTGAATTAGAGGGAACAAGATTGTGATTGGTGCTATGGGAATGAATCATCCATAAGCATCAAAGTTAGAACACTCGGGTTCTAAGACATGGTTTACATGAAAAAGTCGGGTTTTCATGGGTGTATTGTTTTATGAAAACTTCGAGTTTCAAAGGCACTAAATTTGAAACTATAGGTTCAATTTAGTTTATGAACGTTTAGTTCATAAAAGAGAGGTTCCTGCAAGAACACATAATGCAATATGTTGATTTAAGTGTAGTGGATTTGAGTTGCTTTAGGAACTCAAGTGTGAGCGTTTCAGGACTACGAAAGGATGTCAACGGTTCAAATAATAGAAATAAATTATTGAATCGATAATGGCCAAAAGTGATCTTCAGATCAATAATTTTGGATTTTTTGTTAGATTAAGGGATTGCAGGTCACTTCTAATTAATTCAATAGATCGGGATCATTCGGGATCGATTGTAGAAGCAAAATAATGACATGTGAGTCTTATTAGCTTTAATTGGCGGCGGACCAAGTAACAATTGAATTATAGCTTAATTAGCGTTAACCAAAAATGTCCCAAAAAAATTATGTGTATGTTTATGAAACGCAGATGCCAATACATGGCATCGGGTTGAAGAAAAAATATAAAAGGACACAGTCCAACACGCTTGGGCTAGCTACAAAGTGATAGGTCAAGTCCTTACAGCTGTTGGGCCTTAGGAATATGGCTGCAAAGTAGCCCAACCTAACTGTAGGTCAGCGGGCTAGGGAAGGGGGTTAGAGCCCAGCACCCTAGGTTTGTTGGCTTTAGGCTAACGCGTGAAATAAGCCCAGCTTTCGCTGGCTTCTGGTTAACGCTGGAGCAGACCCAGTCAGCATAAGGCTTCTATCTTTGGGCCAAGATGATGGATTGCTTCAGGCGAGCCATATCATGGAGGAAACCCAGCAGAGCTGGTGTTGAATTTTGGGCCAGGAAACAGAAGCCCAATAGGGCTAGCTTCTGGTGAGGCATGCACAAATTGAGGCTGCAAGCCAAATCGTGAAGAACCCAAGCAATCGTTCATACATGGCTCAACGCAACTTCGAGCTGCAATGTTCCCATATTCTTTTCGAATTCTTAGGATTTGAAAAACCCTAATTACTTCTAATTTCTTTCAATTCTTTGACTCACATATTCCACATAGCAAAAATTGCATAATGCATGAAACATGTGTGTGTGTGTGTGTGTGTGTGTGTGTGTGTATTGACAAATATATGAAACATATACACAATATATATCGGAAGGTACATATAAATGTAAGGAGTTCATGCATCATGAGGAATGTTTTCATGCTTCATGGTCGTTTCAAATATCTTACTTTATTTTAAGCGTATATGATTGGTAGAAAACAACAAAATCCTTTGAATTTGTAGAAGATCCTTCTCGGAAAACTAGAATTGCATCTCTAATGTGTTGTATCACATTCAACACAGAAAAATTAAATTGAATCAATAGCATGTAGATCAATAATAAATTAATAAATTAATCATAAAAAGAATGATTAAAACGTAATACTCTAATTGAAGATCAAACTCTCTTTAGCGCAGCTTCAAGAGAGTGCTGATAACATGTTGTAGGCATAATTTACTAAATAATTATGAAGGCCTTAGAGAGAGGGGTGCGGTAATAGTAGAGAGAAAGAGAGAGATGTGTACTTGTGAGGTGTGTTATATTTCATCTCATTGTGCCTTTTATTTATAGTAGTAGGATAGGTAAAATCCTTATCCTTTTAGAATTACATCTCTAAGAGGAACTAGACTAATAAAAGGAATATAAAAGATATCCCTAGATACACTAGGATTTATACAATCACATTTCTAATCTAATAGGACTACAACAATAATAACTTAAATAAGTATATTGGCATAATGTTTTGTTTATACATGTTTTTTCATTTGATTAATTTTTTAAACTAAAACCAGAAATTATAATCACGAATAAATCCTTTTCAAAAAATGTAGGTTCTAGTAAAAATTATAAAAACGAGTTACCAAATGACAAGAAGACCGCATAGCGCAGTGGATTAGCGCGTTTGACTTCGGATCAAAAGGTCATGGGTTCGACTCCCACTGTGGTCGCTTCAAACAACACTTTATTTGGACATTTACTTAATTTTTTGTTTCATGGAAATAGCAGCTGCATGTCACTGTTTTTTAATAGCATTTTGTTGTAACCGTTGGATCAAAATTCAACGGCCGTGTTATTGGTTCAGAAGAATTCGAACCCCCTGCTCAGGAGAGGATCCAAATCCAACAACTCCAACCTGTGGTCGCTTCAAACAACACTTTATTTGTACATTTACTTAATTTTTTTGTTTCATGGAAATAGCAGCTGCATGTCACTTTTTTTTAATAGCATTTTGTTGTAACCGTTGGATCAAAATTCAACGGCCTGTGTTATTGGTTCAGAAGAATTCGAACCCCCTGCTCAGGAGAGGATCCAAATCCAACAACTCCAACCTTTGTTTTGTTTTATCTTCCACTAGAAGGGATCACTTTGCGTTATCTGTGTGCTTTTATTTTTTATTGGCTTTTTAGCCAAAATGATTTCAAAGATTTACCTAATTCCTCATTTTGATTTTTGAGATTTGAAATCAATAGAAGTGCTCTGAGATTGTCCATCATCAATCATTTTGGTCCCTCGTTGAAAAATTATGTTAAATAAGGATCAAAATGATAAAATTACCCTCAATATAATAAACAATGCCAAAATTATTTGACAAAAATTAAGGGTATTTTTGTCATTTTATTCTTATTTTATGGAGGTTTTTCATGGAATGACCAAAATGATTGATTATGGACAAACTCAGAGACCAATTATATCGATTTCAAATCTCAGGGACTAGAGTGAGGAGTTATGCAAATCTTAGGAACCATTTTGGCTAAAAAGCCTTTTTTATTTTTATTTTTTTTTGAATTTTTTTTTTTTACCCAAAATGGTATTTGAGATTGACATAACTCTTCATTTTGGCATGACAATGAAAATTGATAGGAATGTGCCTTGAGTTTGTCCATCGTAGAATATAACTTTCACTTTAGCATGACAATGAAAATTGATAGGAATGGTACTTGAGTTTGTCCATCGTAAATTATTTTGGTCATTTTGTTAAAAAATTGTTAATATCTTCATTAGGTAGAGGAGTTGGTTTGTCAAAAATACCCTGAAAAATGTGGTCATATGGTCGTTCACGGAAGGACTAAAATGATTTGCAGTGGACAAGCTCATAGGACCACTTCTATCTGTTTTTATTGTCAAATGACCAAAATAAGGAGTTATGCCAATCTTAAAAACCAATTTGGTAAATAACAAAAAAATATAAACTTTTGTGAATTACCTACAGTTCAGTTTAATCACCACCCACTTTATTCTCACATGATTCAATTTGTGGATGTAATTATTTCCATTGGATTTTAATTCCGTATCTCCAGAATCACAACACAGCAGAAACAGTTCGTAATTTTCTGGGGTTTGAGGCATTGAGCTGCCTAGTCTAGAGCATAATGTCAAATAAGGAAAAACGAAAACAAACAATCGTGCATTGGATGAGTAGGGTTGTGTAGGGATTTTCAAGTTAAACACAGATAATCCGAGAACCTCGTCCTCAAGTACAATCTATTCATACAGATACTCAATTAGAGATGCAGAAACTTGTAAGAACATATTGAATATTGAATCTTCTATAAATCCACTCAACTCCACGATCGATACTATACACTGAACATGTGTGTACAAGGAAACACATTCAGACTCAAGATCTGTGTTACATACAAATCAACTTCACTACTCCCTCAGCGTCCTACTTGTATAATGCATTTGATATCGGGGAAAATTTTTGAAGTCCAAGAGGAAGAGAGCCAAAGAACAACTGGCTTCAAAGGATGATGGTACAGGAAGATTCAAAATTATCGGGAAAAGAAGATTACCGCAATTAAAACAGTTCACTATCTTCACTCGGCAGCCTTTTTCCTCCTACCACCACGTCTTGGAGTAACAGTGACAGGCTCTTCAGCCTCTTCCGGTGGTTGCTGATTATTTACAAGATCTTTTGACAAATTCATTTGACTTCGTAGCCGCAATATTTCACCCTTGGCAGATGCCAATTCCTCTTCCAATTTTTTGCTTCTCTTCTCCAGACCCTCCCTTTCCTCGCCTAGTCTCATGACAAGATTATGGACATCTTCCATGTTTTCTCGGGCCTCTTTGGACGCAATCTTATGCTCTGTTAGGGAATTGTAAACCACCTCTTTCTCATCTTCAAGGCTAGAAATTAGAGAATTAGCCCTCTCTAAATCTTGGGAAAGCACCATTGCATTTCGGTTCATCTCATCCAGTGCTTTGGTAGCCTCTTCCAGGTCTGTTTCAAGAGATTTCCGAGACTCCTTATCCTTCAAAATCTGTTTCTCCAAAGCTTTAACTTCTTTTTTCAAAGAAGAAACTAGCTCCTTTTCTTCTTTTAGATCACTTGAAGCTCTTTCAGCTTTTTTGTAGACATCAACCAATTCCTCCTGCAGACTATCACGTTTTTCAGCAACAACTGTTAGTTCATGGGACAGAACTTGCAGCTCCTCATTTGTATTCTTCAGAAGTTCTTTTGCTGCAGAAAGCTCACCAGCAACCGCATCACCACTTAACGTCACCTCATCAAGGGTCCTCTGCAGCGATTCCCTAACTCCAGTAAACTCGGTCCGAACCCTAGAGATCTCAGCTTCAAGTTCCGTGTACAAAGTTTTTGACTGTTTTAATTGATTTTCCAGATTGGAAGCTTCACTTCTTGATTTTGCAAGAGCTTCCTGAGTGCTTTGGAGTTCATGTTTCAAATTCGTTTCAATTTCCAGTTCTCTATCCAGAAGTTCCTTCAAGTTTTCCTTCTCTCGGGTCAAATCAACAATTACTTTTTTGTTTCTACTTGTGTCATTCAGAGCAAGTTCAAGCTTTTCCTTTAGCTGCTGAAATTTCTCTTCCTTTTCTCCCAAAAGCTTAGCATCCAAATCTGCCTTTCTACAGGAGGATGTTTTCAGATTATTGTATTCCTCCTGAATAGCATCAAACTCCCTCTTCGAATCATCTAATTCAGAAGTTAAAGAACTAACTGTTGCATTCAGTTCATCGAGTGAGGAATTCTTCAATTCTAATTCCTTTTGATTTTTCAGGAGTTCATCTTTCAACATTTGACTATCTGAAAGTGCATTCGTTAGTTCATCCATCCTTTGATTGTAGGTAGCTTTCAAGTCCCTCAACTCCAAATCTTTTTCGGCTAGAGAAGAGCCAAGACTTCGGACATTATTTTCTTTATCCTTGATTTCTGAATTGAGCAAATCAATCCTTCCCTGTAAGACTTCAATTGAGTTTTGCTTTTCCTTCAAATTTTCTTCAAGTAATACCTTTTCTTCTCCGGCCTTGGAAAGGTTGGTTTTAAGACTGTCAATTTGAATTTTTAGCCCCTCAAGCAACTTCTTTTCACCATTTAACTCCTTTCCTAAGCTTGCAATTGTACTTTTTGCCAAACTCAGTTGGCTTCTTAGAGAGTTCTGCTCTTCCTTTGCCTTTGCGAGTTGCTTGCTCCGTTCTTCCTGTTCACCTAGTAACTTTGATTCATAGCTCTTCCCCAATGAAACAATAGCAGCTTCCTTTTCGTTCAGCTTGGTCTTCATCTGTGCATTTTCAACCAAATTAAATGTGGGTTAAATCAAACAAAGCATCTAAAAGTATTTACTTGAATAGAACACAAGATTGGGAAACAAGTTAAAAGACGCATTATTTTTTTTGTACATTTTGAAGTTCCTTTTCAAAGAGACTAGACTCCCGTCAGCATCTGTGGTATGTCTGTGTTGTCTCAGCATGTAAAGAAAAGCTTTTTCTGTGGAATTGAATAGGGACTTACAGATTCGACTTTGGCATCAGTGGCTTTCTTTTCTGACTGAGTCAATGCATAGAGCGCACCAAGGACACCAGAACTGAAAATACCAATGCCATTCAGGAGAGACAAAACGGGAATTGGTGCTGCATTTGTTTGAGGTGCTTCCTGTTCAATGAATAACTCACTTTAGAACATGAAGCCTTATAACAAACAATTAACAAAATAAAAAGGAAAGATATTAAATACAGATTTTTTTAGTGAGTCTAGTAGACATTCGTAGCTTCTTCGTACCTCTGTGTTTTTACTCCCGTCTGGTGTCTTTAGCTCACTTTCTTCTGGAAAAAAAAAGGAAATAAAGGAACTAATGCATAAACCGCATGAAACGAGATGGAAACTTGTCACAAAACATAATAATTTATAATAACACCCGTCCATGTTAAGGAAAAGAACTAAAAATGCAGCACATTGTAAGAATCTTCCTAAAAGGAATATATAAAGAGAAGGTTTTGTAAACACCCTAAACTACCTTTGAAATATTATTGCCTAATTAATAGGATCCGCACATATATCCCAACTTTGCATATTTAAAGGATATGAACTGTGTTTTGTGGAACTCTACTTAAATTCTGCTTGTCTGCATCCCCTTCCCTTAGTTTGGTTGGCAAAATGATGAACAAAGAAACTAAAAATCCAACATGACTACCCATACCAATCCACATATTGCAGACACTCGACATGAAAGATGTCTTTTAGGCCCATTAATGCCCCACTTAGTATTCAACCATTAAAGAAAATGGACTAAATTTGGGATATCATCGAATTCTCACTTAAATTACCTGGATGACTTGGGGCAGGACTTGTGCTGTGCCTAGCTAATCTGCCAAACTACGCAAATTCTGCTGCTATTTTGAGTTGCTAAAAGAAGAAACTGACTCGCAGAACAGCTGATCCGACAATAAATTTATGTAGCTGGCCTGGCATTAAGTTTAACTAACAAACTAAACAAGCTTTAAACAACCTAGAACATGTCAGATTTTCATTTTAGTCCTGATTAAGCATTCAAAGTCACGAATGATGGGTAGAACTTACCCTTACGAAACCATCTTCTAAGGGAAGGGTGTCCAAGGGCTTATAAACTATCCAACGATACACTATTTGTTTCAAACTTTCAATATGGCGCATTTGGGACGAGACAATCCATAACACTAATGCACCATACATCCTCGTTTACCTGTGTTTCTACACTCATCTACCACCCTAAACCCTAAACCCCAAGACAATCTTACAGATTACAATCACTTATGTTTACAAGTAGAAACTTCCCACTTGATACAGTGCAAAGGAAATACACCATAACCATTCTAGAATCTAGCTAGAATTGCCTAATCACAATCAGATTTTCAATCGTTATTGGCAATAGAAACCCTTAAACTTAAACTGCATTATCAAAACCCCTAATCCATTTACAGAATCTTGAGTCAACACTCACCAGTCACTTCGAACAGAAAAATAATATCCTTTTGTAAAGAATAAGAAGAACTCATTCAAATTCTAATAAGTTTCTTAAAAGACTATTTGCAACAAACCCAAATCTTTAAAATGGCAAACAATTAACAAACCCAATAAGCTTTTTGCCTTAAAAATACGATTACAATGAAAATTTTCCAATTTCCATTTCCCAAAAATTTTATATTCTCCAATCCCACCCATCAAGAAGAAAGAAACCAATTTGAATCACAATGACAGTTCAACTTACTAGTGGCCAAGCCTTCAAGAGCAGTGGCCCTGAGCTGCAAGAGTGGAAGAACTGAAATACCCACAAACAGAATAGCCCTCCTCATGCTACACACGCCGTCGTTCGAGTCCTCGTGGCGCAGGGACGCCATTGGTACCACCGTCCTCCTCCTTGTCTCTGCACTCCTAGAGGTGGAACACAGGAAAATGGGGTGAGAGGAAGAACAAGAAGAAGAGGGGAAAGGAGAGAGGGAGAGGGGAGAGTGCAAAAAGCAAGAGCTCCCCATCAGAAAGCCCATTGCTTTTGTTTCTTGATTGATTGATTTGTTTGCCTCTGGCCTGGTTGGATTAAAGGGATAGAATGTTGAGCACTCAGAGGCAGAGCTTTTGCTCTTTTTTATTTCAGTTTTTCGGTTTCAGGGGTGTCTTTATGGCTGATTTGTAAATTAAGTGAATTGCCACTAATATGAAATAAATACGTTAATTAACAATGAAGTAATAATCTAATCATCAACAATCACTTCATATTAGTTTATAAAATTCAATTTAAAAAGATGATTTTCCTAACATTACCCATTTTTAATTTTATTATCATTTTTTAATATAAAACAATAATTTTTAATTAGGCTTAAATGCTATAACGGTTCATGTGTTTTAGTCATTAAGTCAATTTAGTTCTTTTGTTTTCAATTTGGCCAATTTGGTCGGGAGCTTTACATATAGAGACAAAAACTTTTACTATATTTCAAGAAACTCCACTAGTTTTTCGAACATGTCAAGAAGAGACAAAAACATAAAAACAATTATAGCCTAACCCAATAACATAGAAACAATGTTTTAAAATATCAGTCATACCTCTAAGGCTTTAGGGCTATTAATAAAACTCAGTCCTCATAACTCCAACAAAATTAATGTGCCATAAGCTTAACTCGTCTTCGACTATTTCTGCAGAATCAGTTTTGAAATTATATGCAGAATCAGTTTGTATCCTTTAATACTATAATCAATTCAACCCATCCTCGACCATTTTTGCAAAATCAATTCAATCATTCATTGACCATTTTTGCATAATCAATTCAACATGTCATCAACCATATTTGTAGAATTAGTTCAACCCGTCGTCGACCATTTATGCAGAATCAGTTCAATTAGACCCGACGTTTTTGCAGAATCAGTTCAACTCATCTTCGACCGTTTTTGTAGTATCAATTCAACCCGTCCTCCTACAATTCAACCCATGCTCCTCCAATTCAACCCATCCTTGATCATTTTTGCAAAATCAGTTCAACCTGTCCTTGATTGTTTTTGGAGAACCAGTTCAACCCGTCATTGACCATCTTTTCAGAATTACTTCAACCCGTCCTTAACTGTTTTTGCAGAATTAGTTCAACGTAGTTCAACCCATCCTTAACCATTTTTGCTAAATTAGTTCAACCTGTCCTCCACCATTTTTTCAAAATCAGTTCAACGTTTTTGCAGAATCAGTTTACCTCGTCCTCGACCATTTTTGCTGAATCAGTTCAACGTTTCTACAAAATCAGTTTAACCCTTCCTCGATTATTTTGCAGAATCAATTCAACCCATCATCGACTGTTTTTTTAGAACAGTACCCATCTTTGACCATTTTTGACGAATCAGTTCAACTCGTCTTCGATAAATGTCAATGTTTACAAAATTTCCCTAATTCATCTTTTGGTTTATTAAGTCGTAGGTGTGTTCAATAAATTTTCATTTCCAAAATCCAGTTCTTGTATTATTTTTTTCATCTTACAAATTCAAATTTAAAGAAAGGTAAAAGGTCTTCTAATTTGTTTGATTTGAAACTCATCTTAAATTGGTCAATGGAAGGTTATTTGTGATAAATCGGTTTGATTTGAATATCATATACTATAAAGCAGCAAGAACATCCTTCAATCCAATTTCAAGGCACATTTAATTTGAAAAGAGAAAAAAGAAGGGAATTATACCTTGTCTATCAAATAATTAAAGCTAGATGGGAACTTTAATTGTCCAACTAGGAATGGGAATGAGATGGTAAACCAGGTAGAGGTCGTAGATCCACAAGTTCATTCATTCATTTGAATAATTAAATTGAATAATTAAATGGAACCAATATTCCTTGAAGAGAGAAATAGAGAGAAAGGAGGAATGGTTGAAGAGATATAAGTGTGAAAAAAAACTTTTTCCTGTAAAGGGTAATTTTGTAACCTACACTCTAGAGAAAAAAAAAAAGGCAATGGTATCATTTTTGGATTTGGATCATCGCCAGATCCCCTCCCTGGGAATCCTAGGGATCAACGCATGTGGACCGTTGATAAAAAATCGTGCGGTCACAATTTTGTTCTTTTTTATATTTTTCATGCAAAACGAGGCTAATTTACTTTTAAAAATATAAAAAGCATTTAATTGGGGCCACATGATTTTTGATCAACGGTTCACGTGTGTTGATCCCTAGAATCCCCAGGGAAAGGATCCGGCGAGGATCCAAATCCATCATTTTTCACATGTATTAACTTTGTCTCTCCTTAAAATGTGTAAAAAGTGTTGCCTCAATATACAATTAAGTATTAAAGGCATACTCTATGTGTAATTTTTCCTATTATAAACTTATTTGTTAGGTTATAATTTATTTGATTTAAAATATTTAAAATGAAATAAAATTAAAATTAAAAAAAAAATATTCTCCTTCCAATTCTCCAACTTCCTCCCTAACATTTTTACCCCCTCACTTTTCTATGCCACAACCTTAATCATTTTTCAGATTAGAAGTTTTATTTCTTATATGTATTATTTCTCATTGATTTGTATATTTCTATAAAGAGAAAGGGTAATTATTTCTTGACACACCCCAACCGAGGCCAGGGCATGCTGGCCGTCACGTGGAAGTGACGTAGCCATGTGCACAGTGCGGAAGCTAAAAACAGTAATGTAAAAGTACGAATAATTTAAAAACTAGCAAATAAAATGTAATAAAGTATGTGCTAGCGTAAGTAAGTCGCTGAATTCAGAGCCTAAAGTCTACAGCAGTCCAAAAGAAACGATACAACAATAGTGCACCGAAGGTGACCCTACATAGGTGAGTGTCTGTCAGAAATGCCGGGACGTCCCTTGGGAAAACCACCGAACCCGCTAAGCTACTAGAACCTGGAGGGGCGCAAAACAAAAGTGTGAGTGGGCAAAAACAAATTCTTTGAAAACCATTTCATAAAATATTCTAACCCCTCGCCGTAAAACCTGTATACTTCCCAGTAAATAACCATATACACGTATGTATAAATATGCCAATCATGTTTACTAATATGCCATGTCAAACCTCATAATGAAATGCAGGTGCTCAGGTATAAATCACATCAATATCATAACATCTGACAGCCGGAGTCCCCTAAGTGACCTGTACGGCTGATTCTAGAGCTCAAATCTCAAATTCCATAACTAAACCTGCTCACGAGTCGGAACCACCTAAAGTGGTCTGTACGACAGGCCTGGGTGTAAAACATATAAACGCTCTAGTGCTACGATCACGTGAAGGCTGTGCGAATAATCGCGGGTCACCTACGAGTCGGAACCACCTATAGTGGTCTGTACGACAAGACTGTGCACCTAACTTGGATTCAAGCTGAGCGTGTGGTGCGGGAGGTGAACAACACGTGAAGGACTGTGCCCTACTCTGGGCGGGAGCACTAACACCGGGGGTGCAGGTTATGAGCTCTCTAAGCATCTCTAACCACTATTTAATGCAATCGTTAAATAACGCTTACCTGGCACTTACCTATGCCTCCACAGCACCAGTATATATATATATATATATGACATATGCATAATTGAATATATAATTAAACGTATATGCCACTAATCATGCCTAACCACCAATTGAATAAAAGGAATGGCATATAACGAAGCATTTAAACTAATTTCTGGGAATTAATGTGTATATAGGTATATACGGAAAACAAAAGCCCACTCACTGGTATGTGGAAGGGTCGTAGCCCCCCTGCCTCGAGTGTGCACGCTCGTCCTCGGGATACGTGTCACCTATATGCGAATTAACTATAAAAACGTTAACTTTAAAGCACATAACCGTCCGTTCAAAATAACTTCTCATACATTGCTCAAAATGGACAAATGAATATACCAACATGATCTACACAACCTCAGGATCACAACCATATTTTTAAAATATTTTTTGGACCTCTCACGCGCCCCCACGCGCCAAAACAGGCACGGACCCACGCGCCCCCACGCGCGGCCACGTGCCATGCACACTGACGGCGTCAAGTGACGCCGTCAGGAATATTCCGTTAAACCAACGGAATATTCCATTAACCCTAACTGACGCCGTCACTGCCGTTAGGAATATTCCGTTAAACCTAAACGGAATATTCCTGTTTCTTCTCCGATCAGTCACCGTCGCCGGCGCCGTCGCCGGAAAACCTGCAAATCGCTATAACTCACTCGTTTTTCCACCTTTTTTCACGTTTCTTGCACCAAAATCAACCTTAGAACTAGTAGAACATGATCCTACAAGTTTTAAGGCCTAAAACTACAAGATTATACCTGTCCAAATCTCCAAAACTCGGCCAACTTCGAACCAAGCTTTCCCGACGTCCAAATTTGTCCAACGAAGCACTCCTAAGCTCCTGGGAACCTCACAAACACAACTACAAGCTTCAAAATCCCAAAAACAAGCTAGAATAACTTTGCATGAACAGTGTTCAAAACGGACATGGCGATATCGACGTGAAAACGTCGAAGTTCTTACTTGAAAATGGCACCACTGGACTCCTCTCAGCCTCACAAGCACGATGGTGGTCTTGGTTCCTTCGATCTGTGAAGATTTGGTGGGTTTTGGGTTTGGTCCGTACGTATATGGTGAAAAGGAAGGGGAAAGGGAGCACGAGAAAGAGAGAGAGAGAGAGAGAGAGACAGGGAATGACAGTGAGAGGGATAGGGATAGGGTGTGTGTGTGTGTGGTCCAACTCTGGCCAACACCACACAAAACAACCAAAAACATAACAAAAACAAACTAGGGGTAAAATGGTAATTTCACATGTACGTTTCGATAATTCCGGGACGGGATGTCACATTTCTCATATGATTTTTCTTATGAATTTTTTAAAAGAGATTGAATGAAATATCCTTCATTGGCTAATAGAGACAAACACGAGGACTAAATTAGCCAAATCGAAAACACGGGGATTAAATTTTCCATATAGCTATAACATAGGGAGCATTTTGACATTTAAGCCTTTTAATTATTTATTTATGACGACATAGTTAGTGTTATCGTCTAGAACTGTTCTTATTAACTATATGTGATTCTTGAACCATAAGAGGGTTTTTTTTTCTTTCCCCTTTCTCCCAATAAATAATGTATATCATGATAGAACATTTGCAATTGTAGTGATCTTGGGAGTTTATGTTAGTAAACAATCATGTAAGTTTTGTTTTGTTCATTTCCTTCTTCAGAAAAAGTAATAATTTGACAGCATTGTGTAACATCCCACATCGCCCAGGGAACTGATCCTTAAATGTATATTCCCATCCTACCTAGCACGAGGCCTTTTGGGAGCTCACTGGCTTCGGGTTCCGTAGGAACTCCGAAGTTAAGCGCGAAGGGGGCTAGAGCAATCCCATGATGGGTGACCCACAGGGAAGTTGCTCGTGAGTTCCCAAAAACAAAACCGTGAGGGAATGGTAAGCCCAAAGCGGACAATATCATGCTACGGTAGTGGAGCGAGCCCGGTAAGTAGTGCCACCCGGGCCGGGATGTGACATTGGTATCAGAGCCAATCCCTGGCCGGAAATGTGCCGACGAGGACGTCGGGCCCCTAAGGGGGGTGGATTGTAACATCCCACATCGCCCAGGGAACTGATCCTTAAATGTATATTCCCATTCTACCTAGCACGAGGCCTTTTGGGAGCTCACTGGCTTCGGGTTCCGTAGGAACTCCGAAGTTAAGCGAGAAGGGGGCTAGAGCAATCCCATGATGGGTGACCCACAGGGAAGTTGCTCGTGAGTTCCCAAAAACAAAACCGTGAGGGAATGGTAAGCCCAAAGCGGACAATATCGTGCTACGGTAGTGGAGCGGGCCCGGGAAGTAGTGCCACCCGGGGCGGGATGTGACAATTGCCTGCTGTAGTGCAGTGATAACAAGTTTGATCCTAATGAATTTTGAATTTTGCTATATTCTAGATGCAATAGTCTATCTCATGAAAAGTGAGGTTGGAAGTCCACCCGTTTTGTCATGATAAGTGACAAGGGAAGGCTAGGGTAGTTACTATTTACTTTGTAGGTGAACCGATGAGAAAATGCCAAGTAGGAAAATCTTCAATTCTGGCAACTAAATATTCAATATCTTCATTTCCTGTCACATAAGAGATTTTTTTTCTTTTGCGCACAGAACTACCAATGCGACTAGTAAGGGAGCACCCTCTCTTTGAATCGGATACAAGCAGCACCATTTTCAAAGAGAAACTGCAAATAAACTAGTTAGTGACCACTCCTATAAAGACTATGCACACAAAACTGCCAATGAATATGTCAAGTACATAGAGATAAGATCGCACCAACTTTATCATGAGACACCAACAAAAGACGTAAACCCACAAGAAAAAAATTTGACACGATTAAAAGTATCACTAACATCTAGAAAACCCACAGCTAAGCCATCCCTTTTCCAAACCTCGAGAAAATGACATTTTTTTTTTCCAAATTTCCGAAGTTGGGAAAAATTTCAAACCAAAAATGGGTAAAAATCAAAGGCATATTTGTCAATATGCCCCCTGAACTTGTATAGAGCTGTTAATTTTTCCCTTGAACTTTAATTTTAGCCGATTATCTCTCCGAACTTTTATAAATAGTCAATTCTCCCATTGACGCTAGATTTTAAAAAATTTCATCCAACTTTCCATCTATTTTCACCACGAGACAACACATGACAATTGTATTGGGGCAATAATGAAAAATTGGATGAAAATTTTTAAAATCTAACACTAGGGGAGAAATTGGTTATTTATAAAGTTTTAGGGGGTAATTGCCTGAAGTTAAAGTTCTATGAGAAATTGGCCAATTATAAAAGTTCAGTAAAAAATTAGCTAAAAGTAAAATTCTGAGAAAAAATTAACAACTCTATACTAGTTCGAAGAGAAACCGACGAATACCTCAAATCAAAATAATAACTTTACTCACAACTACAAGAAGCCCAAATCCGCAAGGCCCAGCCCACCTGAATACAACAATAACGGTTCTGCACCGCAGGAAAAATAACGTACCAGGCAGTCAGGCGTGCCGCGTGCAGATGCAGTGACCTTCTTTAATCCCCAAATCTTTTACTCCCCTTCTCTCTCTGCCTTCTTGTCTTTCCCTTCTTCCCATCCCAGTTTCCCCGAAAGAGACACAATTGATTGCAAATTTTTAGCAGATGTCGAGTTAAACCTCTTTAGGAAGCTTCAATTTGGCTTTCCACCCAACAAATTTCGGGGGAAGTTTGGAATTTGAGGTAAGAGCTAAGGGTTTCATTCATTTCTCGTTTTTGAAACTCCTGGAATTTGAATTTAGCTCAAGAATCTTTGAAAGTTGAATCGTGGGTTTGTTTTTGTTTTTAGATTTCATGCGTTTGGGAAAATAAATTAGGTATATTTTAACTAGAAGGTTGATGGGGTTTAGGTTTACTTCCCAATTTTGTTGACCTAAGTGTGTTATATATTCTCTGATTGTGAATTTCTTTGGGCAATAGGCTGTTTTGAGGAAGATTTTGATGTGGGGTTTGCTGTTTTCGTGTTTTTTTTAAACGAAATGCTGATTTGGAGCTAGTGGGGTTTGCTGTTTTCGTGTTTTTTTTAAAACGAATGCTGATTTGGAGCTAGTGGGGTTTGCTGTTTTCGTGTTTTTTTTTAAACGAATGCTGATTTGGAGCTAGTTTAGTTCTATGAAGGAGAAGTTGTTGGTTGGATTTAGAATCCAAAGGGGAAAAAGAATAATGGGGGTGTATGGAGCTTAATCCCGAAATGGCAAAACTGGTTGTTTCGAACTAGGAACTAGAGTCTTTCTAGGTTATCTTCTTTGTGGTTGTTTTGTTGTTAATCTTGAGTTCGTGCTGAAATGGATGACACCGAAGATGACACAAGGTATCCTCCAAACCTGTATGGTGGGAATCACCAGCAGGGCTATGGTTCTTCACAACGCCAAAAGCTTCCTGCTCGTGGTGGTGTTCCATATCCTAGGCCAGTCGGTAATGACTATGCCGATGATGAGGAGGAAGATGAGACTGATGACGATGAAGAATTGGGCGAGGAAGAAGAAGATAACAATGGTCAAAATGGCTATCCTTCTGTTCATAAAGGTGTTGGGGATGATGATCACGAGGATGATAGTGATGATGAAGAGGATGAGGATGATGAAGAGGATAATAAGATGATGGTTAGAAGGCTGGATGATGATGATTTGAAAACGCACCCAAAGAAGCGTAAGTTAAAGAGTTTGATTTCAAGTTATGAATTTGCTCCTCGTTTGCCAGCTCCTCCTCCTCCTGCTGCTGCACCCTCTGCTCCAAGACAATCAATTGGTGGTCGGAATGCGCTTACAGATTGGACTGAACGTGAGACTTTTGTGTTACTAGATGCTTGGGGTGACCGGTTCCTTCAACGTGGAAAAAAGAGCCTTCGCTCTGAGGAGTGGCAAGAGGTTGCAGAGAAAGTATCAGAGGTGTCCAAGATTGAAAGGACAGACACACAATGCCGCAATCGGTTGGATACATTGAAGAAAAAGTACAAGAAGGAGAGGGCCAAGTTCGCAGAGTCTGGTGGTGCCACTAGTAAGTGGGTTTACTTCACAAAGATGGATATGTTGATGTCATCGCTACAACAGCAAGCCGGCCTCTCGTGTGGTTTGGACTCAGGGGAGTATGTTTTCATGAACCCTAAAGTGTATTTAAACCGTGCAAATGGGTTGGATGAGATGAGGGATAGTCCAGAGAATTCTGAATCATCTGAGGGAGGGGATGACGATTCAGATGGGCTACCACCCAAGAAGAGAAGGTATGGAAGGGAGAATGGTGATCGGGGTTCCTTTAGATTGCTTGCTGATTCCATTCAAAAGTTCAGCGACATATATGAGAAGATTGAAAAGAGTAAAAGGAAGCAGATGGCGGAACTAGAGAAGATGAGGATGGATTTCCACAGAGACTTGGAACTGCAGAAGAGGCAGATTATGGAGAGAGCGCAGGCTGAGATAGCGAAAATACAGCAGGGCGATGACGAGGAGAATGATAACTCTGCCGAAAATGCTAGCGGGTAATATCGGTATCTATCCGTAATATTAATGGGTTATGTTAACTGCAAGCTGTTGTTGTATCAATTGGGGAAGACTTTATCCCCTTGTATTTCTTTTGAGGAAATAAGTTGTTGATTTTGTAACAGATATGGTAATTAGAAACTAAATATTTCGAGTTACTACTGGGTTGCCTCCTTTGTTTCCCTTTTGTTCCAGTTTGAGTTGGAAATCATGGGATTGGAGTGATATGATAAGTGCCCATCGAATAACAATATCGTTTTTAATTTTTAATTTTTAGTTTTCATTCGTGTTATAGATACATGGGAGAGAGAGTGACGGTGAAAAAATGTGAAGGGAACGTGTATGTAATGACGCGAAAAATTGAAAACAACTCATTCTCGAGTGTTCGTTTTCATATAATGTCTTTCATTTCTCCCCTTCACCACCTCCCGGCCTGTTCTTCTTACACTCCTCGGGCAGCCGGCTGCACTCCACGCTTGTGAGAGCACAAAAAATTGTAAACATTTAGTTGGGAGTGTAGATAGCTGGAATACGAAATTGCAAATACTCGGTTCGGAACGTTAGATGGCTTGATGAGGAACATCAAAATTGCTACCCTTTTCAGCAGTAATGGGCTGAATTTGTCCAGCTCCTGGATACTCATTTGCAGAGGAAGAGAGACGAAAGGTCAATCAAGAAGCTATATATACTTGGCAGATGGAGCTCTGGGAAAATCTAAACGGACGTGGGGTTTTGCGACGTGGCCTCCCTCTAAAAATATAATTTACCTGCTCCTCTTAAGAAAGTCGCTACTAGAAAAGCTAAAATTACCGAAATGAAATTTTCTGCACTTATTTTGTATGTTACCCGCTCCTTTTATGAAAGTCGCTACTAGTAATGAGATCATATTCAAATCCTTTCGAATCCCTTTCATCAGCTTTGCAGCCTCTTCAAGCAAACCAGCTCGGCTTAGACGACCAAGAATAGTGTTATAAGTAACCGCATCCGGTTCGATCTTAGAATGCTTCGTTTTGGCAAACATTTCCAAAGCCTGATTTGGGCCACCCGTCCTAGCCATGCCGTTAAAATGTTATTATGTGAGTTTAGGTCGGGAATGCAGCTGTTTTTCTTCCATGACTGCAAGCAAGGAATGTGCTTCATCTGTCATATCAGCCCTCATCATCCCTGACATGAGTGCATTATAAGCATACACGTCTGGAGTGCATCCGATTTTCTTCACCTCGTGAAAAAGATCCATCAAGACGCCCACATTTCCCAAAATGTTTAATCATCACACCATACACCCTAGCACTTGAACGACCACAGTTTTCGTTCAATTGTTGGAATAACTCATTTGCACCTTCATACCGCTTTGCTTTTCCAAGACTGTTGATCAGGCTGCAATAGGCAGCTGGACAAGGAGGAAAACCCTTCTCAGCCATCTCTTCGAGAAGCAAAAACGCGTTCTCAACTCTATTTGTTTTGCAAAAATCGTCAATAAGAATTGAATAGGTAAACGAACTGGGAGCAATGCTATTAAACCTTCATCTTCTCAAACCATGTAGCTGCCTCCGAAGCTGGAGCTCTGGATTCAAATAATGCTTTGATTACAGTGTTATAAGTCACCACATTAGGTGTGCAATGCAAAGATGACATCTCGTTGAAAATCTTAATAGCATCTTCTATACGACCTTCCTTTCCCAAACTGTTTATCAAATTGTTCATGAGCACAACATCAGGCTTACAACCCTTCTCTCAGAAGGTTTTTGTATATAGCATAAGCATCGCCTACCCTCCCCACTCTGCCCAGCCCCTTTATCACTTCCGTATAAATAAAAACAGTAGGCGGACACCCCTTCTCTTTCATATCCTGAGCTAGGCTTAAGGTGGACACCCCTTCTCTTTCACTTCCGTATAAGTAAAAACAGTAGGCGGACACCCCTTCTCTTCCCAGCCCACTTGAAAAACCGAACCTTAACATTCACTTCCACATCAATCTGGAGGACCGCAAGAACCAATCGATGATCCACTCTGAGCTTCAGAACTTCCAGCGCCTTTTCTGCATCAGGTCCCCACTTGAAAAGTTTCAAAATCTTTGTGAAACTGAAGGGTCTTTCCTTGACATGTTTCTACTTCATGGGAAAGTTTCGCTCTTCCCCAGATGCTGCTCTAGGCAACTGGAACATTTTAACTATCTCACTTTCTGCTTAATCACAACACAGAAACAGGTTATCACACAACATTCAGTAAGTGTATTCAATCAAAACCCAGTTGCACCAAAGTTCAAATCCCCCTCCTCGTATTTTAAATGAATTTAGAGTAGACTATTCCATCGTTTGTAAAAACAAAACCCAGATGCTAATTTAGAGTAGACGAATTCGCAACCAATTTTACCATAATGCACGATGTTTTGCAGCCAAATTTACACCTCCGGATCAGAGTGGATGATTCTACTCATGCTAACTAGTGCAATGATTCGTGTAAAATAATGTTGTTCCGGACGGCCTTCAAACGAAAATCTTGCGACAGGAGCTGCGGTTTCGGAGTTACAGGAAAGTAGCAATTGCGCCGGTGTCGTTTGAACAAGGACAAGAGAAGGACGGAGGAGGTAGGAAGGAGTGAAAGCAGAGAACGGAAGAGACAGGAGAGGGAGAGCGCCAAGACAAGACAATGGGAACTGCCGTTGCTTTTACCTTTGCTGCCGCTCTCTAGTCCCAAATTACTTTTAAAGTGATTTCAATAGTGTTATGCAACGGTAGATCACTACCACCATCACACCATCACCACCCCCTGGACCACCATCTTTGACACCACCACCTCCCCACCACCGTTGTCGTACTACCATAACCGCCATCCCTCTAGCCAGCATAGCCCGTCACCACCATATCCACCATCTTAGCATGGCCACCATAACACGTACCTCCGCCACCACCATCATCACCCCCCATACTATCTACTCCACCACCACCATCATCACCCCCCATACTATCTACTGCCTTAACCCGCCACCATAGTCATCACCACTTCCACCGTCTCACCATTGTAGCCACCACTGCTGTCACCATCTCGCACCACCATCACCAGATTCACCCATTACCCTCAACATGACCGCTACCACCTCCGCCATCATCCCCACCTCTCAACCAGTATTTTTACAACCATCCCTTATAATCATTGTTAATACAACCACCATCTACCGCTATAATAGTTGAGTTTCAGAATGAGCGTTCCAATTGTATAGGTAGCCCTGTCTCTATTATAGAAGTGTGATCACCGACTTTTGATTAAACCTACTTGTAACGATGAATCTTATCTCTATCACTAGCATCCACTACGTGCTCCATCTTCAAAGTTCCCGTTACAATTCTAATCTCGTCACTCAGTACTACAGAAATCATCTTTGCCGGTGAGAATGGAAATCCAAAAGCCAGGCTCAGACCTAAACCTACACTTCCACCAGGCGACAACGAAAGCGCACTGAAGGTTGCATCGAAGAGAACCTTGACGCACATATTCGCATGCCAACAAAATACCACCATAAATTTCAAAACCTGTCCGCAAGAGCATCAATGCAAAATTCGCAGAACAAAATCGAGCAATTTTGGAGATAAATTCAAAGATATAGGAAGAAAGAGTATCAATGACACATGAAAAACAAGATTAGAATGAAAAAGTATAAGGTCTAATGGTCTCCATCCCATCATAAGAGGCGAAAGAGACCCCGAGGGTAAAATTTCTCTTCAAAACCCTTCACAAAAAATCCGGAATTCTAGAGACCAATTGTACGGTACAATAAATAAAAACTGACAGACCACAAGCAGATAAAAGGCTTTACACCTAGAGGTATATCATCCATTTAGCACACCACGGGCCTCTCCCTCTCCGTCCAAACTGCGTTTTAAGGCTCAAAATGGAAGTGTATTATGCTAAAGAATCAAATCCTGAAACGCCATAAAAACCATAGAAAGGCAGGTACTCTACAGAACTACGCAGAACTTTGGGGAGCTTCTGGCTTGTCGGTTTCCATTGGTTCTGTAGAAGCCTGTGGCACCTCATTGTCGCCGTCAGCAGGATTCTCTGTGGGGCCCGGATTGGCATTTGCATCTCCGCCCTGAGGTTGCTCACTTCCCTGAGGAGGTGGGGTTGGCGGAGTTTCAGGAGCAGCTGGCTTGGCTGGTGCTGGTTTGGGTTTCGTCATTATCGGTCTGCAGAACCTGTCAACAAAAGCGGATAAAAGAAAAGGTTACCACTGTCAGATATCCCAAAGGCTTCCAAAAGACTTTATGAATAAGCAATAGGCTCTTGTTGTCTAAGACAAACAGTTCGTCAACTAACCAAAGAAAACAAATATATCAATGCAAGATATAGTACCTGTCAACTGCTTCAGCCTTCCGTCTCACATCAGCTGATAAGAGTACTGGGTTGGCATATTTGGGAAGCAAATCCTGTTGCTGCTTTTTCTCTCTTAACCAGGCCTCGGCTTCAACACACTCATTCAATACCTAAACAACACAGAAAGAATATTGTCAGTTGAAATGGTGGAGACTGGGGCAAGGGGAAGTCGAGTCCATTACCTTCTGTTTATCAGCCAGATCTATGTGTTCAAATTTTGCATCATTTGATGCTGCAGCTTCTCTGTAACTATTGACACAGTAAGCAAGTTGATCAATCACTGTTCCCCTCTCCGCGTGCTCCTTGACCCGCTCTTCAATGGGGTCACCTTGCTGCAATTTGAAAAAATCACCAATGCTCAAAAGAATCAAAACCAACAACATCAAGTTGGACAAGAGAAAACAGAGAACTTCTCACCAAAACACATTAAAAGAAGAAAATCCTCACCTTCTTCAGATCCTCAAGTTTGGCAATGTAAACTCCTTTGGTTTCGTCTTCACCATCTTCATACAGCCAGTCCTCCACCTCCTGAAGTCTAGCAATAAACGCTTCCCTCTCGGATTCAGTGACAAATTCATGATACTTGTCATTGAGCTGGCAATACAAAAGAGAAATTTAGCAAAAAAATATGGTAAAATAAAAATGAAAATGCATCACGAACATACAAGCAAACTACCTTGCTTCTCATGTTATACACGTATGCCTCAACAGCATTTTTCTTGTCTTTTGTTTCTTCCATAACACGGTCTTGTAAGGCCATTTCAAACTCCTTCTCAATTGCCTTCTGCAATTCATTTGGTGGCATCCCTCCATAAACTAACTCTGTCACAGGAATGTTTGTTTTCCTTACCTTTATCTTTTTAGCATCAGCCTGCATCGCAAAAACCAAGACATTAAGAGTGCAGTCCCCACAAACAGAACCAAATAAAACCACTGATAGTATTTAACCATTCCAAAACTGAATTTTTAAACAACACTTAGTACAGTCCATCATCCCTTCTCTTCTCTGTAGTGACATTAAATGTAGATTATACGAGTTAAAAGATTATGATGACTTTTGAAAACCCTTCCCCATAGTTAACGTAATTGAACATGAAAAGAATGTTCACCCAAAAGCTTAGCACAAGTAGACTATATCAAAGCAAAGCATAGAAAGTTAGGCATAAGTTATTCATCTCCTTAGTCCACATATAGCTGACTCAAATTGGGTAGCTAAACACTATTGCCCTCCCACGGTCCAGGAAAATAACAAATAACAAATGGAATAAACACATGTGAATCATGACGACTGACCTTCGCATCAGTTTCCATTTGCGCAGGCTTGTCCCCGGACTCGGGAACACCAGTTTCAGCACCCGGAGCATCAGCAGTGTCCTTAGCATCTTGCATGTTCACATCAGTCTCTTTGGTACTTGGGGGAGCCGCATCACTGGGTGCCTCATCAGTCTCCATCTTAGCAGCCTCCTTTGTTTGCTCTTTTGTGACAGGAACCTCAATTTCTTCTTCTTCCAAAAGCTACAGCATGTGAAGAAAAGCAAATAGAATTAGAAAGAAGATAATCAACCAAAGACATCTAGAAGCACAAAATGCTTTTAACTTTTAACAATCTTACAGTTGCTGAGTCTACAGACACAATCCCATGCAGGTTTAGGCGAGCTTTAACCTTTAGTTTTGCCCGCTCACTTTTAACGGACTGGAAAGGACCAATCTGCACATGTATAGTGTAGTAGAATGTTAGGAAATATCTGGCAGATAACCTAATAGCGTTGAGAGAAATTAGAGCGCACAAGTTTAAGATCCAATATTCAATTTGCCACTCACCGTATATGTGCTGATTTTTGCAGGTGCCTGCAAATCACTAACATCAGCATACTGCACATCAACTGAAAAAGTGCCCGATCTGTAAAATGTAAGGGCCTTGATACTCGGGATAGGATTTCCCTTGGGGAAAACAAGGGTATTTTGGTTGTTCTCAGCTGCTCCGTTCTGAGCGTCTGGACCAGAACCTTTCCAGGACAAGGAAATTGAAAATGGGAAGCTCTCATTAACCTTCATATTAAATGGGATAGCATTAGTTAATAACAAAACATAATTTTTTGCAAAAGCCAGCAGGTTAGACAACATACAGATTGGTTCTACTAATGGAAACAAATTCACATACAAAGCAAGAGTTAAACTCACCTGAAACTCTCTAACTTTGAATGTTGGACTAAGAATTGCACATTGCAAAGCACAACCCCTGGCAACGCACTCACTTGCATTCATAGTTCGCCTAGGCTCCTTGTTGAAGAAATCTGTCAATATCTTGATTATAGCAGGAACACGAGAGCCTGAACCGACAACCTCAACTGTGTGAATGTCCTCTATTGAAAGCTGTGCATCAAGAAGGGCCTTCTCCAAAGGTCCCTTCACACGTTCCAAAATAGGAATACTGATCTGCTCAAATTCATCCCGCTTAATAATTCCCCTAACATCCTTCTCTTCCATTAAACACTCTATATTCAAAGGTACCACAGGATTTGCACTAAGCATCTTCTTCAACTTCTCACAAGCGGTACGAAGGCGAAGGCATGCCCTTGCATTCTGTAAAACATCAATTTTGTACTCTTCCTTGAATTTTGCTGCAAAATGGTGGAACAGTACTTCATCAAAGTCCCTACCTCCCAAAGACTGGTCAAAGGAATGAGCCAATATTTTCAGCTGCCCCTTCTTAAAACCAGCAATGCAAACTTGCATGCTAGCATGCCCAATATCAACAAAGGCAACATTCAATTGGTCATTTTCTGGTAAATCCGTCTTGTAAATACCATAAGCCAAAGCAGTCGCTGTAGTTTCATGGAACAAGCGAAGAGGGTTCAATCCAGCAATTTTTGCTGCATCCATAACAGCTCTTCTTTGGAGATCAGTGAAATACACTGGAATCCCAATACAGCAATCGACAACAGCTGCATTGAGATTCTTCTCGGCTATGATTTTCAGATCAGAAAACAGCATTCCAAGAACTTGGGTAGGTGTAAATGTCTTTGCTTCTCCCAGATAACGGGCATGAATCAATGGATATCCATCAGGCCCTTCAGAAACAGCAAAGGGCAATGATTTGATATCCCTCTGCAACACAGGATCAGAGAATTGCTTACCAATCAAGCGCTTAATCTGGGAAATTGTGTTCTTAGGGTTCATCAATGCTGAAGCAGCCCCAGCTGTCCCAATGAACCGCTGCTTCTCACCAAAACAAACAAGGGCCGGAGTTTCACGCTTGGACTCATCATTGAGCACAACGTCAATACCCCTCTGCCTGGCTACGGCCACAATGCCGCTCTCATTGCCAAAATCAAATCCCACCACGCTCATCCTTGCAGAATTTTAAATCTGGAAAATAAGTAAGACCCACATTTAGTAAACAACCGAAACTAAAATTCAAAATCAAGTAAGAACCCACATTCACTAAAAACAACTGAAACTGAAATTCCAAATCAAGCAAGAACCCACATACACTAAACAACTGAAACTCGTGGAATCAACAACACCAGTTCAAACAAAGCACAAGGGAAACCACCATTCAATCATAGAAACAACCAAAAATCGGATGATGAATATCTTCACCGTCCTCACGGTGATTACAGTATCAGAAATAAATAATACAGTAGCTAAAGGAAACAGAAAAATAAGTCCGCAAATTACACCTCCGCAAATCTTGGATAAAAAAACCCTCCATCCCCATTCAAACTGCATAACATACAAAACAATAATCTTTAAAAAAATTAAAATTAACCGATCCTAATTGCAAATTCCAACCAACGCTAATCAACCAAGCAGTCAATAAACCCCATGATTATCTAATCACCTGAATCTGCTCAAACTAGTGTAATCGTACATTCACCGAATCTAGCTCAAACCCAAAAATAGACACCCTAAAAGATATAAGCAAAAAATTGAATCGCAGCAGAAAGTGAGGCAGTTCAACACTTAAATTAATCAAAACCCCTTAAACCACCATTCAATCATAGAAACAACCAAAAATCGGAAGATGAATATCTTCACCGTCCTCATGGTGATTACAGTATCACAAATAAATAATACAGTAGCTAAAGGAAACAGAAAAATAAGTCCGCAAATTACACCTCCGCAAATCTTGGATAAAAAAACCCTCCGTCCCCATTCAAATTGCATAACATTAAAAACAATAATCTTTAAAACAATTAAAATTAACCGATCCTAATTGCAAATTCCAACCAACGCTAATCACCCAAGCAGTCAATAAACCCCATGATTATCTAATCACCAGAATCTGCTCAAACTAGTGTAATCGTATATTCACCGAATCTAGCTCAAACCCAAAAATAGACACCCTAAAAGATATAAGCAAAAAATTGAATCGCAGCAGAAAGTGAGGCAGTTCAACACTTAAATTAATCAAAACCCCACCGAGGCTAAACCCAGCGTAAAATATCCAAATCGGGAAACGGTAAAATCTACATCAGATCTAACAGCATTTTCACATAGAGATCTGATCCGATGCAAAGTCTAGGGTTTTAGGGAACGTACCTCGAGGGAGATCCACAGAGAGTCTAAGGACGGGAGGAGTGAGAAGGAGGAGAGAGAGAGAGAGAGAGAGCTTCGGTAGGGTTTCTCGAAGCCTCTGCGGGAACGCTTTTGTGGAGAAACAGAGAAGGTTGCAAGAGAGACCTAATGAGGTTTTTTTTTGTTTGTATAATTTTCGCATGTTATATATATATACTTTTTTTTTTTAATTTAATTTAATTTAATTTAATTTATTTTTTAATGTTAGGAAGGTGCTGGAGGCGTTTAGAGAGATACTTCTTGTTCTTCTAGAAAGTTCTTTTGGACTAGCGAAATTAGAGAGAAAGGTAGAGGAGTATTCTCTCTGTATCGTTGTGGGAAGTGTCATGTATGCACGTACTTGTGGCAGATCAGACATCAGTTTTGCAGTTGAATCCAAGATGGATCACTCGAAAGCTGCAAATAAAGTGATGCTATATTTGCACGGAACAAAATACTATATGATCACATATCGGAAATCTAATAACTTACAAGTTATCGGTTATTCATATTCAGCTTTTGTTACATGTGTTGATAGATCAACTCTTGGTTACTTGTTCCTCTTAGTTGGAGGAGTGATTTCTTGGAAGAGGACATTAGCACATAAGCACAATGCATGACTACAAATCCATTGACAAAATGATTGGGGCCAAAGACATTTAATGATCATGTTGAAAGAATGGGTCTAGGTAACCATGATGATTGTCATATTTTATTTTGTTGTGAAGATTTGTTGTAGTGACAATATTTTGGTTCCAACATACAACTATAGAGCTTGTTTAATCCTTCTGTAACTCCTTCTGAGAAGTTCATTGGCACCTGGGCGATTGAATTCATGCACCAGCATTAGAGGTCAGAGAGGCACTTCAAGTAAGAAAGGACGAAGAGAGTTTGAGAATTAGTTTCTTTTCGTTACTTTTTTCAAGTTCTTACATGAGCATATATATTAAAGCTCTCTAACTAACTTAGATCATTAACGTTTAATTGAATACAAGGTCCCCTCACCTGTGCAGGTTGCCCAATCTTTATAATGGCTTGATGTGAATTTAGAACGACCACAATGAAGAACACGAATGAGAAGAAAAATGGAGAGCAGACAAGTATCTCCTGCTTACTTGGTTCTCCCTATTATCTCCATGAGTGAAAATCGACGTAGACGCGAGTTAGAAATAAAACTCAGGGGTGTCAAGAGCCGATATTATGGAAAATTCATTGCTGGGATGAACAGGGCACTAATAACTTATTCAACATCTCAGCAAATGAAGGAATACAAGTGTCTTTTGTTTCATTTGCTTCTTTCTTCCTTGTGGGCACTTTGTTGCGCTAGATTAATAAAATAGCTCATGGAACGGAAGGTTAATTACTCACTGCTAGCCAGTAGCTCAATTAACCTTCTTTGCACTCAGTTATAATTAAACAATTATCTATCACTATTATGTTATTCCTTAGGAGTGCTTTTGATATGATCTAATGCTTAAGAACCTTCTCATCTTTGAGGAGTTAAGCTCAAGTTTTAATTTCATCAATTTTTTGTTGATAGTGTGCAAGTAAACCTCATGTCATTTAATATATACCAAAATGGGTCACCCGCGCATTGCCAGAGGTTTGAAAATTGTATTTAACACTGTGTTTGAAAGTTGTAAAAATTGTATCACAAAACATTAACATTATTGAGAACATAAAGGTTGGAAAAGGTTTATAGATGAAATGTTTAATTTGTACAATTTAAACATAAAAGGTTGCAAGCTTTTTGTTTATAGACATACAAAAAATATTACAACCATCCATTGCACTTAGCAGTTGCATCCACTTTTCAAGTGGAACCAACATTTAGATACAAAAAGTTAGCAAATGTTGGTGTTGGTTCATTGATGAGCCAATATTATATTATATATTTTACCCTATTCTTAGTATGTTTTGGTAATTATTTTGATAGAATTTTGATACTGTGTTTTATATTTCCAATATAGAACATTAGGCTTCCTTTGGAGCAAAACATGATCAAACAGACGAATTTTGGAGTGATTCAAATTAAAGGACGTTCGTATCAAAATTTGGGATTTTTCTACCAAGCAGTTACTTTCTAGCGATGGAATAAATGAGCAGTGTGCAGTGCTGGAAAGTGACGTTTCTAGGCTGAAATTGCGTTTTTGGAGCCCAAGATGACCTCTGATGGGTTCATGGCATTCTGGAGAAGTGTTCAAAATATTCCAAACTTCAAATCCAGCTAAATTGGGCAGGTTTTGGAGCAGTTTAGGGGCCCAAAACGTGACTGTCCAGATTTTAGGCAAGTTTTACCATTTAATTTAGGGATATGTTTCCTATTTTACTTTAGTTATTTAGTTTCCTAGTTCAATTGGAAGACCTTTTCTTATGAGGATTTAATTTTTACTAGGTTAAATAAGCTTGGCCGGCCCTAATTATGAACTACTTCTTCTCCATGCGTTCTTTGGGAGAGGAAATTGGCCAAGTGTAGAGATTTTCAGACTTTTTCATTCAACGAGTTTCCGATCTTTTATTATTTCAATAAAGAACTTTGTGATTTTTATTATGAATATGCATAACTAATTCTTTTTTTGCTAGGGCGAGGCCACGAGCCTTAATAAGAATATATAGTTTCTTTTTAATTTGTTTATCATTATATGCATATAGATTTTCGAGTTATTAATCACCGATTTATATTGTCTAAGTGTCTTGATGATTCGCGACCATTAGGATGTTTAGAAAAGGAATTTGATGCAATTTTGGTCGGAGGTCGGTCCCTAAAATTGACGAAGGTTTCTTGTGATTAATATGTGCAAGTTCACTTAGGATGAATACCATGTCTTAAGGGTTGCATGGTTTGTCAAAAGGTTTCACAAATATATATATTTTACCCTATTCTTAGTATGTTTTGGCAATTATTTTGGTAGAATTTTGATACTCTGTTTTATATTTCCAATATAGAACATTCGACTTCATCTGGAGCAAAACATGATCAAACAAAAGAATTTTGGAGTGATTCAAATTGAAGGACGTTCGTGTGTCTTTTGGCGTGTTCGTATCAAAATTTGGGATTTTTCTACCAAGCGGTTACTTTCTGACGATCGAATAAATGAACAGTGCTCGGTGCTGGAAAGTGATGTTTCTGGACTGAAATTGCGTTTTTGGAGCTCAAGATGACCTCTGATGGGTTCGTGGCATTCTGGAGAAGTGTTCAAAATATTCCAAACTTTAAATCCATCTAAATTGGGCTGTTTTGGAGCAATTTAGAGGCCCAAAACGTAGCTGTGCAAATTTTAGGCGAGTTTTACCATTTAATTTAAGGATATGTTTCCTATTTTACTTTAGTTATTTAGTTTCCTAGTTTGATTGGAAGACCTTTTCTTACAAGGATTTAATTTTTACTAGGTTAAATAAGCTTGGCCGGCCCTAATTATGAACTACTTCTTCTCCATGCCTTCTTTGGGAGAGGAAATTGGCCAAGCGTAGAGATTTTCAGACTTTTTCATTCAACGAGTTTTTGATCTTTTATTATTTCAATAAAGAACTTTGTGATTTTTATTATGAATATGCATAACTAATTCTCTTTTTGCTAGGGTGAGGCCACGAGCCTTAACAAGAATATATAGTTTCTTTTCAATTTGCTTATCATTATATGCATATAGATTTTCGAGTTATTAATCACCGATTTATACTGTCTAAGTGTCTTGATGATTCGCGACCATTAGGATGTTTAGAAAAGGAATTTGATGCAATTTTGGTCGGAGGTCGATCCCTGAAATTGACGAAGGTTTCTTGTGATTAATATGTGCAAGTTCACTTAGGATGAATACCATGTCTTAAGGGTTGCATGGTTTGTCAAAAGGTTTCACAAAACTTAATGAATTGCGCATGTTAAGATTTGATCTGAATACCACAAACGGATTGCATGTTTGATGTAGCTCTATATTGGGGGTCAAAGTAGGCATATATTAGGAAAACCTAACCTTTGAAATATGCATATATAGGTCATAAGAAATTGGGAGAACTATATAGGATTGTTAAGGTGATGGTGGATCCCTAGTGCTTTCTTAACTTGATTTTTCTTTTTTTTTCCTCATCTTTAATATTGCAGATTTTTCTACTTCCATTAATTAAATTCGTTTTATTAAATTAGATCATAAAAATCAATCATCTCAAATTTCCATATTACAATAATTAATTAGAATTTGGTTTGCTTCGAATTATTTAATAATTCCTATGGAGAACGACCTTGCGAGAATCATTTATACTACAATATCCTTGTCATTCTTGTAAGTATTATAGGAGTTTTTTACCCTTTTGCATGTGTGGTAAAATACTGATCAAGAAATTGGTGTAGTTGTTGGGGATTATTTAAAATAATATGTTCTAATCAGATTTTGAATTAGTTATTGCTGTATATAAAAAATATTTATAAAAAAAAAAATTCGATTTTATTGTTTTCTACATATTGCAGCAATGCAGTGCATATTACAACAATATGTGCATTGTTAGCACCTGTTCAGCAAGGCAGAAATTGTTTCCATTTGATCTAGAACCTGAGCAGTATTTAAGAAGGAGACGCAGAGAGCAAAATTTACAGTAGGTTCCTTCCCTGCAGGGGACTTTTCTGCAGTCTTTATTTTCTAGGGATCTGCACAACAAAGAAACAATGACTTTTGTTATTCTATAGGCTGGATAGCCTTTAGGTGATTCATTGACAGCATATGCCACTCACATACCAAGTTGCATTAGTTATCCGGAAGTTGAGGAAGGTTCTACATTCGAAATAAAGCATCACATGTTGAATATTCTACCTACATTTCATAGGTTACCTACCGACGATCCTAACATGCACATTACAGAATTTTTAATAGGATGCAATAATATTTTAGTGAGAGGATTTTCAGCCGAATCTATTAAGCATCGTTTATTTACTTGCACTTTGAAAGATCAAGCAAGGAGATGGCTCCTCACACTTCCATCTAGAAGCATTAGCACTTGGGACCAGCTCAAGTGAACTTACCTCTTTTAGATGGCATAAAACAAGTGCCCAAGTATGCAAAATTCCTTAAAGATCTTTGTACGAACAAGAGAAGATTCAATGATCAAGAAACTGTGGCATTAAGCGAAGAAGTATCAGCTGTTTTGCAGAGAAAGCTACCACCAAAGGTGAAGGATGCCGGTAGCTTTACCATTCCATGTGTAATTGGAGGGAAAGAGTTTGGGAGAGCATTGTGTGATTTGGGGGCATCCATCAATTTGATGCCATATTCAGTGTATGAATCACTAAACCTTGGAGACTTGAAGGAAACAAAGGTAGTAATCCAGTTGGCAGATCGTTCAAATAGATATCCCAAAGGCTTATTGGAGGATGTACTTGTGCAAGTGAATGAACTTATTTTTCCCGCTGATTTTTTTGTTCTTGAGATGGAACATGACCCTATGCCTATTGCACTTCCTCTTATATTGGGAAAACCATTCCTTAGAATGGCACGTACGAAGATTGATGTCTGCGATGGTACTTTAACCATGGAAATTGATGGAGAAAGTGTCAAGTTCAAAATCTTCAATGCTATAAGGTACCCTAGTGATTTTGAATCTTGTTTGTCTATTGATGCGTTTAACTATTTTGTGCAGGATTGTTTTAAAGAAGGTGTGGGACAAGACAATTTAGAGAATTCGTTAGTTCATAGCATTACACATGAAAAACTTAATTATTCTGAGCACATTGAAGAAGAATTAATCCAGACAGTGGCAGCCCTTGAGTCTCTTTCACCAATTCATGGTAAGTCTTCTTCCTATTTTATTTCTCTTCCTACTTCTAACGAAAAAATTCTTCATTCTGTGATTCAGGCACCCAAATTGGAGCTTAAACCGATTCCTGAACATTTAAAGTATGCATTTTTGGGAGATGATGAAACATTACCGGTCATCATATCGTCACAATTCATAGCAGAAAAAAGGGAGAAACTGATCCGAGTACTGAAGGATCACAAAACTGCCATAGCTTGGAGCATTGCAGATATCAAAGATATAAATCCAGCTACATGTATGCATAGGATTCTGCTGGAAGAAGGTGCAAAACCTACAAGGGAAGCTCAACGCTATTTGAACCCACTTATAATGGAGGTCGTCAAGAAAGAGGTTATCAAGCTTCTTGATGTTGGCATCATATATCCTATCTCGGACAGCAAGTGGGTGAGCCCTGTTCAAGTAGTTCCGAAGCGATCCAGAGTCACAGTTGTTAAGAATGAAGCTAGTGAGCTAGTGCCTACACGTGTGCAAAATAGTTGGAGAGTTTGTACAGATTATCGGAAGATAAACAACACCACACGCAAGGATCACTTTCCAGTTCCATTCATTGATCAGATGTTAGAAAGGTTAGTTGGTCATTCTCATTATTGTTTTCTTGATGGATATTCTGGATATAATCAGATTGCAATTGCTCTGGAGGATCAAGAAAAGACGACTTTCACATGTCCATTTGGCACATTTGCATACCGGAGGATGCCGTTTGGACTTTGCAACGCCCCCGCCACATTTCAAAGGTGTACGGTAAGTATCTTTTCTGATATGATTGAGAAAATAATTGAAGTGTTCATGGATGATTTTTCAGTTTATGTTGATTCTTTTGATATATGTCTACATAATCTGTCCCTAGTTTTAAAATGTCAAGAAACTAATCTGGTCTTAAATTGGGAAAAATTTCATTTCATGGTTTCGCATGGATTAGTTCTAGGGCATATCATATCTGAAAATGGAATTGAAGTTGATAAATCTAAAGTAGAACTTGTTAGTTCTTTACATCTCCCTATTACTGTCAGGGAGGTTCGTTCTTTTCTTGGACATGCAGGTTTCTATCGTAGGTTTATGAAGGACTTCTCAATGATTTCTAGACCCTTGTGTTGTTTGCTTCAAAAGGATGTAACATTTGATATGAATGAAGAGTGTGTGTTAGCATTCAACAAACTTAAGGAGTTGTTATCCACGGCTCTTGTGATCATGCCACCAGATTGGAGTTTACCTTTTGAGTTAATGTGCGATGCTTCAGACTATGATGTTGGTGCAGTTCTAGGACAGTGTGTCAACAAAGTGCCACATGTCATCTATTATGCATCACAAACACTCAATGATGCACAGTTGAATTATTCAACAACAGAGAAGGAGCTTATAGTTGTTGTATTTACTTTAGAAAAATTTAGATCTTATTTGATTGGAACTAAAGTTATTGTGTTTTCTGACCATGCAGCTTTGAAGTACTTACTCACAAAAAAAGATGCAAAACCGCGACTCATTCGATGGATACTTCTGCTTCAAGAGTTTTGACTTGGAGATCAAGGATAAGAAAGGGAGTGAGAATGTTGTAGCAGATCATCTTAGCAGACTTGTGCACTCAAACTCAGAGGAAGATCTCATCCCTTTACGTGAAAGTTTTCCGGATGAGCAATTGTTTTCATTAAAGGTTACTGACTCTTGGTATGTAGATATTATCAATTACGAGGTCACCAAAAAGATTCTGGATGATTTTACACGTGCTCAGAAAGATAAGCTTGTCAAAACCGCCAAATACTACGAGTGGGATGATCCTTATTTGTGAAAATATTGCCCTGATCAATTGATTAGAAGGTGCATCCCTGAATTTGAGTTTAAATCTATTCTAACTTTTTGTCGTTCTTATGCATGTGGCGCCTGTGAACACGAAAAATTAATGTTCACCGAAATTTCGATGTCTACAGCGCCCATTTAGGAGTAAAGAGGACAGCCCTTAAGGTGTTAGAGAGTGGTTTTTATTAGTCTAATTTGTTTAAGGATGCGTACGAGTTTTGTGTAACATGTGATCGTTGTTAACGAACAGGTAACTTGGGCCCAAGAAATCAAATGCCATAAACCCCTATTTTGATTGTTGAGATCTTTGATGTGTGGGGCATTGATTTCATGGGACCTTTTCCATCTTCAAATGTTTTTCTTTACATTTTATTGGCTATGGATTATGTTTCTAAATGGGTGGAAGCAAAAGCCACCAAAACTAATGATTCAAAAGTTGTTTCAGATTTTATTAAGACTGACATCTTTGTAAGATTTGGGACACCTAGAGCAATCATTAGCGATGAAGGGAGTCACTTTTGTAATAGAACATTTGAAGCGTTGCTTAGGAAGTACAATGTCACATATAAGGTGTCTACACCTTATCATCCGCAAACTAATGGTCAAGCAGAAGTATCAAACCGTGAGGTGAAGCAAATTTTGGAGAAAACTATGAGTCCTAGTAGGAAGGATTGGAGCATGCGTTTGAACGATGCATTGTGGACATATAGGACTGCTTATAAGACTCCTATTGGAATGTCCCCATTTCGGTTAGTTTATGGGAAACCATGCCGTCTTCCAGTAGAATTAGAACACAAAGCTTATTGGGCGATCAAAGCCTATAACATGGACATGAGTGTTACCGGACAGCAGAGGAAGCTTCAATTGAATGAGTTAGATGAAATCCGGAATGATGCATACGAGTCTAGTCGAATATACAAGCGAAATCAAAGGCATTTCATGACAAGATGATATCAAGGAAGAGCTTTGCCATTGGACAGAAAGTTCTTCTATTTAATTCTCGCCTTCGGTTATTTCCAGGTAAGCTTCGTTCTCGATGGGTTGGTCCATTTGTTATAACTAATATTTTTCCTTATGGTGCAGTGGAAATCCAAAGTGCAAAGACTAGAAATGTGTTCAAAGTGAATGGATATAGACTCAAACCATATTACGAGTTTTTTGCATAGCATGATGTGGAGGTTGTACCCCTCCAAGAACAGCTTCCCTTGAATGATTACTCTTGGTACCGTCCAGCTGCGGACGTAAAAGCAAACGCTTATGGGAGGTGACCCAATATTTCTATTCATTGTCTTTTTATGTCATTTTCAATTTTTCGTTTGTTTTTTTTTTTCTGAGTTTTCTTGCGTGCTAAACTGAATTATTTCTTTTCTTTGTAGGAATATTTGGTTATGTCCACCCTTGGAGTTTATTGCAGAATTGAAGTTTGGGGGTCATCGTTTGATTTTACTGCAAATTGGGGAAGTTTTCAGTCCAAATGCTTTATTTTGTTTCTTATGATTTTATTTTTATTTTATGCATTATTGTGTTTTCTGACATTGGAGACAATGTCCAGTTTAAGTTTGGGGGTAAGGATTAAAAAAAATTGAAAATTTGAACTGGTTTGATTTGTTTCCTTGTTGTTGCTTTTTGTTTTCTTAATTAGTTTTGTTAACTCTAAAAAAAAAAAAAACCCAAAAAAAGAGAGAAAATTATGAAAATGAAAAAATCCAAAAATAGTCTTATTTTCTTTATTGTTTTGAATTAGATTTTTGTTAGTTTCCCGACCCAATAATATAATTGGATTGAATTTGAACCACGGTGATCAAGAACTTAGTAAGCATGTATTGTCTGAAATTCCTTATTCTCTTGTTAGTTTTGTACATGTTTAATCATCTTTGAAAAACCAAAAGCACATAACCTTGTTGATGTGAAACTAAAGCATGATTTAAAGCTTCGTATGTGAACATAGTGACCATATACAACCTATGTGAGTTTTTGAGCCTATTGAAAGTTTGTGCATTTTTCATACACTCCTATTCTTTCATGTGTGATGAATTTATGTGACTTACATCTCTAGAACTTGCGTAATGATCTTTCGAAATGTTTGTCATTGATTGCATGAACTTGAAAAGGATAGAGGCATTAGGTTTATCACCATGGCCCAAATAAGCATGTTTCCTAAAGAAAAATGATATCATTAGATTGCCAATCTGAGCTGTATATGTTGAGCCTTTTATTTCTTATCACCAGATATGTCTACCCTTATACCTTAAACATATTTCCTTACCCTTTCCAAACTAGCTAGTGAGCAATGTGAGATTGTCATATGAGAAATGTTTGTGAAGTACTTTGAAGGAGTTTGGCAAAAGAATAAGTGTGGGGGTATTTCATGTTTATATTTAGTTATGTGCAAAAATTGGTTCAAAAAAAAAAGAAGAAAAAAAAAAAAAAAAAAAAAAAAATTGTATACGAAGCAAATAAACAGTTTTTTTAAGTTTCAATTCAAGGGTGTGGTTGGAGGTATTAGTAGAGTGGCTGGAGAGCTTGAGTTCTTATAAATCTCAACAAGAGAATTGTTTGCAATGTAGCTTGGAACTTGTGTTTACCTATCCTTTCATTTCTATAACTCTCCTAAGCCTCATTATATCCAATAAAAGTACTCTTGATTTTAGTTTTGCAATTATGATTGTGGAGATGACATCTTTATGCAAGCTTATGGTAGATCTTTCACATTTGATTCTTTGAGCGAAACACTTTAAACTAAACATATGTGTGATTGAGTGTATGTCTTGTGAGAAGGTCACTAGTTTGCATGTGGTGTTTTAAAACAAAACTTGAAATTGCATTAGCATGGCTACTACACACACTACACTTCAAGGATGATTAAAAGGTAGTTGTTAACATTTGAATAAGGAAGATGAGCTTGGATTAGCTTGTTTGATGCTAGCTAAGGTTCTTGATGATTTGTTTTCTTGAATGAAATTCTATGAGGTTCACATGGTGGGGAACTAATGTTTTTCATGTTGCTATTTTTTCTTGTTTTCTTTGTTTTGCTCGAGGACTAGCAAAAGCTAAGTGTGGGGGTATTTAATAAGCTCATATTTATATAAATTTTACATCAAATTCACTTGTCTTTTCTTAGTTAGTTCCTTATATTTTTGAGCTCTTTACTTTGTTTTTGTGTTTTGTAGGATTTGTCAAGCAAAGAAAAGAAAAATAGCACAAGTGGAATTTTAAGTAACAAATTCGTCAAAACTGCCTGTGCAGCTCAGCTGACTTTGGAAGCAAGTTGCGGACATCTCAGAATGAATTAGAGAATGAGCCTTATATTCTTGGAAAGCTACGGATGTCTATTTTCTGGAGCATTTCGCGGATTGTTAATATCATTTTTCTAGAAGAAGTTATGGCCGTTTTAACACTGAAAGGTTCCCAAGAGGCTGAGCAGTTTGTAACTGACAAGAAAGCATTGAAAGCAATAAATCCAATAAAACTAACAGCCAAAACTGATGCAGCCAAGAACAAGACAGCTAACTCCTATTCAAATATCAGAGGAAATGGAAAATTAAGTGAGAGTAATGGGCATAAAGGCTGCCCAAAGAGTTACAATTGTTTTAGCATTTCCTCTCACTTATTGTCATCACTAAATGGCTGTTAGTGGGGTGAGTTATGGAGAAAAAAACTGTGGCAGCAGAAAAGAAGAAAAGGGCTACAGGTTGCAGCGGCAAAGGGTGGAAAAAAAGGTGAAAGAAAAAGATAGAAAAAAAAAAGCAAGGAAAAAAGAAGGCTACTGCGTTGGGGAAGGAAGGAAAGGAAGGAGGAAATCTTGGCATTCTCTTCTTTCGGTTTTATCTTCTCAAACTCATGTCTTTCTTTTGGTTTAATTTGAGAATTATGTGTAACTAATTTTTAGTAGTTAGGGGCTGTTTTGAAGCCCCGAATATGATTGCAAGTTTGTTATGATATTTCGTTTGAATTACTTTTATGAATAGATGAAAATTGGTTCACTACTTGTCTCATTGATGAATTCTTTGTGTTTTCTATAGATGCATACTTAGTAAGCATATCTAGGATTCTAATGCTATGAATATGTGTGTGCCTGCCCTTGTCGAATGAGGACCTACATATGTTCTAGAGTAGTACTTGTTAATTGCGATTAACATGTGAATCAATTTCTAGGATAAGTAAGACAACGCTAGTATTTACAATGCCATGTGATGACTCAAACTCTTTTCGTTCTTAATGATTTCTACTTGTTAAATCTATGAACACACCATTCTAGATTGCATGTTAGGGACTAAGTTGAGTTAAAAATGCCATTCTCTTAACATACTACATAAGAAAGAGTAATAGGCTAAGTTCTAACATTGAGCCAACTTGAGCATCTTCATCCGAAAATGAAAGGAATTTGAATGAAACATAACATGTTTGCATGATTATTTGGTGGTGGATAGCAATTCCCCTAACTCGTTTTTCTTAATTTGTGAACTACTTAAAAATCTGTTTCTGTTCTGTTTTTGTTCGATTTAATTTAAATAGCAAATCAACTCCATAAATCCCAAAAATTTGTGTGAGTGTAGCTCTGTGTGTCTAGTGTCTTCATGTAAAATTTCGTAGACTTTAGATAAGTGTAAGTCGGTCTAATAATTATTTTTCGGTGACTGGTCAGTAGGGATACAACACAGTTTTTGTGACATTTTATGTAGTTAGATAAAACAATCTTCTGCGGGAAAGACCCTTATTTTCATATGCTACAATTGACAAATCTTAGTGTTAATAAGGAAAATCAATAGGACATTTGTGTGCTACTTTGTGGTGTGCTTTTAATCATATCACCGCCCAGAGTAGGGCACAGTCCTTCACGTGATATTCACCTCCCGCACCACACGCTCATCTTGGATCCAAGTTAGGTGCACAGTCCTGTCGTACAGACCACTTTTGGTGGTTCGGACTCGTAGGTGACCCGCGATTATTCGCCCAGTCTTCACGTGATCGTAGCACTTGAGCGTATTTATTTACACCAGTCCTGTCGTACAGACCACTTTAGGTGGTTCAGACTCGTGTGTAGGTATCGTTAGTGAGTTGGGGATTTGAGCTCTAGATTCAGCCATACAGGCCATGTTAGGTGACTTCGGTTGACATGTTACTTGCATTGATTGGTATTACCTGGTTTACTTACATTTTATGTGGAGGCATTCGACATGGCATATTTCTGAGCATGTTTTCTATATATGTGTATATTCTATTTTTTGGGAAACTATACAGGTTTTACGGCAAGGGGTTAGAACTTTTCATAATGAAATGATTTTGAACAGCTTTGTTTTTGCCCACTCACACTTTCTGTTTTGCGCCCCTCCAGGTTCTAGTTTGGATTGCTCTTTTGGTGGCTCACGAGGAATTCATGGCATATCTGACAGATTTTCACCAATGTAGGACCCCCTCTGGGTGTGTTTAGTTAGTATTTGTTCCTTTGGACTGCACTAAGTTTTTTGTGCTCTGAATATTGTTTTTCACACTTACGCTTGCACATGTATGTTAACTACTCTGTATGCAGTTTGGTTTTTATTTGTACGTACTTTTATTATTATTCTTAGCTTCCGCACTGTGCACATGGTTACGTCAGTCTCACGTGACGGCCAGCATGCCTTGATTTCGGTCAGAGTCTATCATTTACAATTGGAAAACCAACAGGTTTTAAAACATTATATTGCTTCAGCAGTTTTATAAAAATAGGATTTGCTTTCATACAAGTACAACAAATCTAGAAAAGATAGTGAAAAAAAAGTATAAAGAAAACATTAACAAACACTTTTAATTACACTAACAAAGTTTAAAAATGAAATACAAATTCTGATGCATACAATTGCAAGTTTGTTTTAACAGTTGGGTCATTCTATCAGAGAAAGTGTAGAACAAACGTCATCCCTGGAATACGAATGCCCTTCTTCTTGAAACTTTTGACAAACTCCTAACGC